TGGGTTTTTCTGAAACCGGAAAGTCACGAGTCTCTCTCTTTTTTCACTTTCACATCTCCAGCAAGGATGGTTGCAATTTCCCCTTGCATAAAGGCCCAGGGGACATTGGAGCCCACAAGAGGGCATTTTTCCCCACTGGGACAATAGACCTCTCCACTAGCTCCCTGCTGTTTGATGCTTTGTCTGGAGCAAGGGAAGCAGAACTTGTGCGAAGGGACAGACGGGCACTGCACAAAGTGGGTGTCCTCCAGCCGCTCGTGGCAGAGGGTGCAGCATAGAGGGGCGCTGGCTGCCAGAGAAGAGTCTGGGAGGCTGGCAGGGTGCACTGGCTCCAGTCCTCCTGTGCTGCCTGCCCCCTGGCCCCCCACCTCTCTGGGGCCTAGCCTTCTTTGGTTCATAGAGGACGGAGAGGGTGGACTGCTGCTATTCCTCCTGGTAGTGGAGTGAACCTGGTTGGCATCTTTCGAGGCATGACTGCCCCCTGCATTGTCTGCCACTAAGATCAGGGCTGCCATGGGCGACTGGCCATTCTGAGCCGCTTCAGGCGGTGTGGTCCGGTTGGAATGAGGTGAGGCAGTGGGTGGCGGTGGAGACACAAAAGAGGATGTAGGAGTAATGGGGATCTTGAGCCCTTCTGTGGGTGTGGACAGCCATGGCTGTGCCTCTCCATTGATCTTAGGGGGCCCGACTTCACCTTCTGGTTCTGGAGAAGGCTTTCTTTTCCTTGCTGTTCTTGCAACTGACCGGTGGGGGGGGGGGGGGAGGCGGGGAAGAAAAGGGAAAAACAAAATAAAACAAAATAAATGGATGTGCACTTAAAACATGTCTTTTACTCACACCAAACAAGACTCACTAAAGAATTTCTATTCTCTCAGAGCTTGTATAGAAAAATCTCACGAGTTTCAAGTGCACGTGCAACTCACAACACTTAAGACTTACGGAGCTCTGAGGCAGGATTTTAAAAGGCCACAGAACAGAGCAGGTACATAACGGCCTGTTTTTACACATGCATGCATGTACCCAGGTTGAACTATGCATACGATTACTATTGTCCCCCAACAGGTTAAAAGGAGGCTGGTGCCCTCACGCTCCCATCCAAGAATGTGCTGGGAAAGGAAAACCCTGTGTCAGTGCCTATCAGCCCAGTCTGACTCATCTCTGTTATGCTGCTTCAGCACATGAACACGTTGCCACTAAGCACTGGTTCCGCCTCAGGCAGATCAGGAAGTTGGGTGTTTGTTGTTTCTGGGCTGGGGTAGAACCGGTGAATGGAAAGAACACCCCCTCCTCTGCTCTGCGTCCCCCTTTCTCCCCTGGGTCCCCTCACTCCACAGCCGCCCCTACCTGCTTTAGACCCGTTGGCCCCGTTGGCCTCGAAACCCAACAACCTGCCTGCAGTCAGGGCCGGCTCCTTCTTAAACTTGCTCTCGAAGGGCCCCGAGTGGCCGTGCTGGTGCAGCGCCAGCAGCGTGTCTCGCACGGTCTTGGGCCTGTTGACCCAGTCCTGTTCTCCGGGCCCGCGGCCTTTGCTCGCGCCCTCGGCGCCCAGCTCGGTGGCCCCGGCCGCGGTGGCCAGGCTGTCGGCCGCGCCGCGATGCGAGGGCGGCGGCGGCTGCTTCTCCTTGGCCGCCGCCTCGCGCTGCTCGTGCTCCACGGCCGCGCTGCTCGACACGGACGCCGGCCGCTTGTGCGAGCTCAGTTCGGCGGGCTGCGCCGAGCCCAGGCCGGCGGCCGCGGCCCCGGACACCGCGGCCAGCGAGGCGGCGGCGCGGCCGCTGAGGCCGAGCGCGGCGGGCAGCGGCGTGGCCGAGCCGTTCATGAGCGGCACCAGGGTGGGCGGCACGGCGTGCCCGCGCCGCGGGTTCGGGCTCTGGCGGTTCAGCTCCGGGGGCTCCTCCAGCTTGGAGAAGCCGTTGGGCACCAGGATGCCGTTCACGGGCGGCGGCTGCGGCGTCGGCGGCTGGGCCAGGCCCGTGGCCGGGCGGCTGCCGCCAAAGTCGGAGCCGAGGCGCGGGGGCCGCTCCGCGGCGGCCGCCAGGGGGTAGCGCTCCAGGGCCTGTGGGGCGCGCGGGGTCGCCTCGGGACCGCCGTGGCCCAGCTGCTGCTGCTGCTGCAGGAGGATGTCCTTGGCCGAGAGCGGCGGCGGCTTGGCGGCGGCGGGGGCCGCGGCGCCCGGCGGGGAGCGGCCCTCCGGGAAGCAGCCGTGCGCCCGCTTGAGCTGCCGCGCCGTCTCGATGACGAACTCGACGCGGTCGGCGCCCTCGTAGTTGACGCAGCCGCGGCACACGGGCTCGGTGAAGTCCCAGATCATGGCCCAGGGCATGCGGGGCAGGTCACACAGGTAGCACGACTGCCGCCGGGACGCGGCCGCCACCGCCACCGCCGCGGCCATGTCCGAGGAGCCCGCGGCGCTGGAGGTGGAGGAGGAGGAGGAGGAGGAGGGGGCGCCGCCGCTCCCCGCCGGCACCACGCGCGCCCTCCTCCCCCCCCAACCCCGCGTCTCCCCCACCAGCGGCGGCGGCGGCCGCAGAGGCGGCGGCGGCGGCGGCAAAGCCCGCGAAGGCTCGGCGCCCGCGCAGCGCCCCCGGGGCACGAGGGGCGGCGGGCGCGGGGCGAGGGGTTGCAGCCGCGGCAGCACGTCCCCCCGGCCGGCGCGGGCTCGGGCGGGCGGCGGGGCGGCGCGGCGCGGCGGGCGCGGCGCTGGCGGCGGCGGCGGGAGCTCGGCTGGGGCCGCGGCCGGCCTCCAGACCGGGGCGAAGACGGGCCGCGCGGGCGCGGGGGAGCGCAGCAGGTCGCGGCGGCGGCCGGCGCGGAGTGCGGGGCGGGGGGCGGGGAGGCCGGGGGGGCGGGGGGCGGGGGGCGGCCGCCGGGGCAGGCTCAGCCCGAGCGGCGGGGCATGCCGCGCCGAGGCGGCGGCAGCGGCCGGACGGCTTGGAGCACGGGCGCGGCGCGAGCTCCGGGTCGCTCCGCTGCTCTCTCACAGCTCCTGGCGTCGCCGCTCTCCAGCGCCCGCGTCAGCGCCCAGCCCGCCTCAGCTCCGCCGCCGCCGTTGCTGCTGCTGCTGCCGCCGCGGCCGCTCCACTTCTACAGACTTGATTCTTCGACAGCCTCGCACGGCGCCTGCGCGGGCCCCCTCCCCTCGCGCGCGCGCCCGCCCTCCCCCGCGCTCGCGCCCTCCCCCTCCCCCCCGCGCGCGGAGAGAGAACGAGCGCTGCCGGGAGAGCCGGCTCCGGGCGCCCGCCCGCGGGGCAGCGCCGCCTGTCCGCGCTGCGACCGGTGTCCCCGATGTGAAGGCGGTGGAAGCGTGCTTTTGCCTCCACTACTCGGTCACCATTCCTCCCCTCCAGAACGTTTGGGCCAAATCGTGCTAATGCTCGTGTTTTTAAAAGCAAGGCCACTTTGTGACTTGGTGCTGTCTCTAGAGGATGGGGATTTTAAATCTAGCGTGGTTCACAGTTTTTTTTAAGGAGTTACATTTAAACTCCACTAAGTGCTTTCACACTCGCATTTGCCTGGGAAGGACACACGCGCCGGCGGTGCCCTTAAGTTTTACTAACATAAGAGTCTCTTTCCAAGCCAGGGATCGCGTCCACACGTCGTTCGGCGGAACCCTCCCGGAGGGGAGCGGGAGCGCCGTACCCCTCGCAAACACCGAGACTTCCTCTCAGCCCCGCCCCCCCGAGCGGGGAGGTCCTCGCGGCGCCGGCGGACCCAGCCGCCTTATGTAGGACCGCGCGGCGGGCCCGTGACGTGGGCGCAGAGCCGCGGGCCCGCGTGCGCCGCCGCCGCTGCCGCCGCCGAGTGCGCACGCTCCGCGCGGACGTGACGGCGCCGCTGGCACTGGCGGCCTCATTGAACGACTGCACATTCCAGGGATCCGGGGTCCACGGCCAGCGCGGTCGCGTCACCGCGCAGGCTCCGCCCCCTCCGGCGACAGTGGGCCTCTAGGCCCCGCCCCCTGGCCCAAACTTGGACTAGAGGTGGCGCGGGGCGCGGTCGCCGGGGTCCGCGCCGGCCGTGGGGTAGCCGGCTGGCCGGCCTGCGGGCTCCGCAGGCAGGTGTCGCGCGGGGCCGGGCCAACGGCAGAAGTCCCCGACGCCGTAGTGAGGCGGGACTGACGGCGCGGCCCAGGCCAGGGTAGCCCCTGGTGGGTGCAAACCCGCCTGGAGCGAAGGCGGGGTGCGGCCGCAGAGCCTGCTCGGCCCGCTGCGCTCTGCCACGGTTGGCAGCCGCAGACTGTGCGCAGACTGAAGTGAGCACTCGGGTTTCACACTTTTATCGGGAGGAGGAGCTGGTGTGTGTTATGGTAAATCACTTTTGGCTGGTCGTTAGTCTTCCTGACTAATAGACGCGGGCTTAGTCACTCTCAGTTGGGACTTGGACACTTCAAGTCTGTAAGGGCGGCCCTTTGGAGCTTCTTTTGTTGGAAAACAGGCCCACATCGCTCCCTGAGACTGGAATGGGCTGGTTAAGTGTGGGAAGAACAGGGTACTAATTATATTATCTTTCCTACAACTGGATTGGTAGGTGGAGAGAGAAAAAAATCCTGCTGACGTTTCTCTCTAGTTGTTGCTATTGAAAATGCCAGGTTGCTTCAAAGGATTAGCCACAAGGAAGAGGAAAAACACCCTTAGCGAAACAGTGGAGGGAGCTGCCTAAAGCACATGAAGAAACCTGTTCGAAAGTGGCACAGAAAACGTAATGCCAGACTTAAATGTTTTTACAGGCTAGCCCTGCATGTCTTCTCTTGGGGATTTCCAGAGAAGGTGTGCTTGCCATAAAGGTCTCCCCATCTGTTCCCGGATCTTGCTTGCAATTGCAACCCTGCCTCACTCTCTTCTAGCTGGGCGAATTGGGCCTGCCCAGATCCTTCCCTGGAGCGGCTGGTACCAGTGGGCTTGGTCACTCCTGGTACCTGCTGTCAGGAACCTCTTTCAGGACCTGCTCCTCTCGTCACTCTCCATGGAGACCCTGTGCCACTCCTTGTAGCAGGTGACTTTTCTCCCCGGGCCACTGCCCAAAGTGGACGAGGTCCCGTCTGTGTGCTGCAGAGAGACTAGCCATCTGAACACCCCCCAAGAGATGGCCCCCACTAGGCAGTGACTGGAACATTAAAAACAACAACAACAACAACCCTGTGTTAGAGCCATGGCCTAATTATACTCATTTACCTACAAGCTGGTACTGTAATACCCTGAAGGAAAGCCTGCCATTTCATACCAAAATAGAAATAGTGAGCTGCAAATTCTGCCTTGAGAGGGACTAAGTAAGGATTTTTGTAGAACGGAGCTTTTCTTCTCCAAATGAAGGACATTTCCTTTTTATTTTACACTAGGAGTTTAATGTCGAAACGGAGTTGTTGTAACTTCCCTAATGAAATGCCTGCTGGAGAATGGAAAGGCTATTTTAGTTCTGGTCTCTCTTGCCATAAAAGGCTCCGGGATCAAGGGGGTTAAGGCTGGCCCTGGATCCGGGGCAGCAATTCCTTATATTGTATCAAAAGTCTTTCATGCTACCTGGCCTTTCATGTAGCTCCGAAGCAGCTTTATCGATCTATGCTAAGTAAACATAGCTTTGTTTTCTTCTTCCACCCTCCGCCCTCCCTCCCGGCACAGACTGGAGTTGGATCCCTTCCAAAGCGGCTGCTGCAGCAGCTACAGCCGCCTCCTCCACACACAGAAGCAGGGTTTCTAGGGTGAGGCAATGCGTCTGCAATTCGCAGAGACAAGGCAGGAATTGTAATTGTAGTTCATCATGTGATGACTTATGAAAGAGGAAGTTGGTATGTTTTAGTCACGTAGACTCTGCCCTCTTGCTTAAGGCTGCAGGTCCTTTCAGAAGAGCATTATGGTAATCTTTGCCATTCAGAGTCAAGGTTACCAGGCTGGCTGCAGGGTGCTCCTACACATTCATATGTGGACAGGCAGGTGGATGGCACACGAAGGGTTGGTGGGACAGTGGGTTGAGGCTGGCTTTTAACCAGAACGCTGAAATGCTGCAATTTGTCTTAAGAACTAAAGGAAATGTTCTATGGGGAACACTTCTGCCGAGATTAGATGAAGCAACAGTCCTTTCCAGCTCTAATTTCTAAGATTTCTTTTTTAAATAAAAATCACAGTTAAGGAGCAAAAGGAAAACTGTTCTGTATGATACCATCAAAAGGCAGGAATAAGGGAAGTGATCGGATGTTAAGCCAAAGGGAGCAGTTCTAAGAAATAGCTCAATGGGTGGAAGAAATCTGCCCTCCCCACACTGCGATTTACATGGGTTTCCACCCCGTGAGCATTAAACATCTAAAATCTGAATCTGGTCCCCGGAGCTTACTCCAGTGGAGACGCTCTTGTTAACATACCACGGCCCTGTACTGACAGTCCACAGGGCAGTGTAAAAAAAAAAACAAAAAAGTTGTTCCTTCCAGAAGACCCCGAGGGAACTCTGCCCTGAGGACACACAGCGGGGGGAGGGTTGCAACGTGTGTGCTGTCCACGAGGTGGTATTCCTAGAGACTGCTGAGTTCATGCACTTCACCCTATATTCACATGTGGAATCACAGCCTTCATTCTTTAGAGTTCAGTTTCTATTAATAGCATGATGTTGCAACCATACTAGAGCTTCTTAAACTCTGACCCTGGCATATTTGGAGGAGGAAAAAAAAAAGGCAGCGGCGTGTCATTTGGATTTCTGTGGATAACAACCTCAGCTCCTTGTACTTAGGCAAAACTGCCGTAAGATTGGAAGAGTGCATGTGCTACTCAGGGCTTTTCTACTTAAAAAAAAAAATTATAAATATGTACTTGAACAGATCTGTTTATATGAATACGCCTATACATACTATGGAGAGTCATGACACAAATGAACCTTCTGTAGTAGATAGGAGAGCCTTTCTTCTAAGTGATAGCATTTTATGAGACAGTTCTACTGTTTTCAAATTGCAAATACACTTTTTTAGAAATACTTTCCCTCTGTTTGACCTCTCCGTGTAGCCTGCCTCCCCTGTGCACAGAATGCATGTGGATATTAAAGAGACTTTTGCATGTGGAGGAGATAAACTCTGTGGAGGGTCTAAGAATCAGGCCAAATAAAATCACAGGAGCTCTTAATCACCCACATATTATACACAGAAGCTGTTAGTCACCAGCCTATGTGTAAACATATGTATAGGTCCCCATTTAGAGTAAAAATTGGGGTCTTGATGTAGGCTAACTACTTACTGTGTCAGAATTTAAAGAGCTAAGTGAGAAATACAGACAAAGGAGAGATTGAGGTCACACACTCGCTCAGTCTGCAAGGAAATTTGTAGGAGAACTGGAAGGGATTCAACAGCCATTTGCTGCCAGAACCCTCCTATTGACTTTTTGGAAAGAGCATGATGAAATGTACTTTTCTGGAAAAAGGTCTGAATGCGGGTTTAATGGATATTTAAGACACCAAAATCCTTTAAAAGAGATCACTAGGAAGATGCTGACAAAAGGGGTGAACTAACTTCAAGGATAATGTTTGAAAATATCAAGATGGTAAATTTTCTTTCATTAGCTTACCTACTTAAAATGTGACTTTTCCTGCATACACATTCAGTAGTAAGGGGACTGAAAAAATGGAAGATGTTACAATTCTAAAAGGTTAAGGATAATATGACTGCCTTGTGTTTATTATACCTTTCATATGGACATTCAAAAAAGATAGTTCAACCATAAATTGTATTATCTTGTCATCCTTTTTCAGAAATGGAAACCTAAAGTACTGGAAGATTAAGTGATTTGCCTACAGTAGCATTAAAGGTGAGTGTCAGAACTGAAATCCAGTCCTGTTGTCTAATGATATAGTCTAGAAGATTCTACTTGCATTTTGAGTTTTTAAAAAAATCACATAAGCACAGTGTAGAAACCTAGCAGGAGAGTGTTAACATTTGTGAGTGTTAACAAAAAGAATGTTAAGATGTGCCAATCTCTATCTATATTTATAGGAAAAAAAGCAATTCTAGGATAGTTCACAGGACATGCAATGTAAAGAACAGCCAACAATCACAACAGATAGAGGGAGATGGTAGAGATGAGAGACAGTTGCCACCACGCCGTGCCTGGTATGGGACACCTTAAATGGCAAGCTATTTTGTGCTGGTCTTTATGAACCTTAGATCAAAATCGATGTTGGTGGTAGGATAAAAGACTTCCATTCTGGGATTCAGTTGGGTGAGGATATGGTTTGGGCAGTCACCAAACTGGAATACTGCACCTCCAGCTCCTTATGATGTGCTTCCTTAAGAACAAAAGGGAATCATCTCATGAAATCATTTTATTCCTGTTATAGGATTCCAGTCCTGGCTACTTTGCACTCAGACAAATAAACACAAGGGGCTAGGGGGCCCTGAAAAGAAAAAAAATAACGTGAAGTCAGATATTCCATAGCATTTCATGATTATAAAGGGCTTATAGGAAGCAAAATGATCATAACTTATTCCAAATAAGCCCTCATTGTCATTGTATTTCTTATGAAAAAGAAGTGAGCCAATATGAGCTAGACTGACTTTCTTTTGACAAGCTGAAAATATATTTTGCAAAAGAATGCCAGTCAGCGGGAAAATCTGGCCTTTATCAATGGGATTTCAATAATCTGTTCTGGTGGCTTACTTGCTCTAGTCTAATGTGTTTAGAACCAAAAAACAAACAAAAAAAAGAAGAAGAAGAAGTAGAAGAAGGAGTTCCAGTCCAAGATGGCGATGTAGGAAGACCCCGAACTTACCCCCTCCACAGAACACGGTAAATTATACCTACTTATAGAACAATTCTTCCCAAAGAAGCACTAAGGGCCAACCCAACAGCTTCTCCACAACAAAGGTTGGAATGGGGGAAAAAAAAAGTAGTATTGTCATTTAAAACAATTATTTTATGTGTATAGGTGATATTCTAATAATACCCAAAGATCTAAATGTTTAATAGTAAAATTATTTCTCCATTTTTTGTGTGTGTGGTCAGTTTTATGTACAGAGGAGACACAGAGGGCTCCCTGTGGAAGGAAAAATGGAAGAAAAATTTAAAAGACTCATCGTGGGCTGTTATTTATTCATTGGAGTAAGTGTGCATGCGCATTAGCACATCCGCTCTTGTGCCCACGTGGCAATGCCTCTTTGCCAAGGGGAGTGCAAAACCACCAAGACAATTAAGATTCACACTCAGAACTGAGTTGACACAGGGAAGAAGAAAACCAAGTACAGCTGTCTGTGAACAGAGAGCCTGAGTTTATGCCCTAACAAAAGACCACTGGTAGACAGAAATAGAGAAAAAGATTTCCTAATGTGACTGCCTAAATATAGTGTGTTTACTAAAAAGCTGGTCACAGACAGCAAAAATGCAAGTAGGATGAACTTTGATGGACTTGTTGGCCTGCCTTGTCAGCCCTTCCAGCAAATTCCTAAGCGAGGAAACCGGTCTGAAACTTGCCTGGGAACTACACACATGCGAACTTCCTAGGGGCTATCTCTTAGCATTTCAGAGATTGCTAGATTTTGAACATTTTTCAGATTGCTTTTATCCCACTACCTACCAATCTACCTATATTTGCATTAACAGATCAATTCGTTCTTCTTTACCATGACTAAGACGTCCTGTCCGCTCCCTTTATCAATTTATTGGGGCACCAAGGCAATGAAGACTTTGCCTCAAAGAAAACATGCAGGTAAACAACAGCTAGAATCCACGTTTCCCAGACTGCAGTTCTTTCTTTAGCCCACTGGTGGGCTACCTCCTATTTCTGTTTTCTTCCCGGGTTCTTTTTTTACGTACATGTAAATAGTTGCACAGGAAGTGGCCGAGGAACCATAGGTTCTGTTCACACACCTGGCAGATCACCTGAGACAGGTCACTTGGACACCCTGGGCCCGGCATTTTTCTCTACTGGGAGAGGAGATGCTGAACTCGATGCCATTTCTACTCAGACCCTTTCCACGGTGCGCGATTTCACGGGAATACAGGGGAATTTGACAAACCCAAGCCCGACATTCTTCTGACACACGTGGCATCACAAAACAATGCAGAGAAATGACCAGGGAGTGTCTGCCCAATATTTTGGGGCACTGTGCCATCTAAATAAAGTTGTGAGGTTAAGTGGCTACCAGATCATCACATCATCTGAGAACATTATGTCTGCTTGGTTTGGGCTCCGATCCCAGGCTAGGAGTGCCTAAGCCACGGTCTGTACTTAGTTTAAGTTAGCCAGGGCAAAAGCATCTGTATCAGCATTAATATGCCCAATTAAAGTGTCTCAAGACTTACGGAAAATATTTCTTTTCACAAGAGACTGCCTTATTTTATTTTAAATATACTTGTATATCTTAATATATATATGGGCAAAGATTATGTATATACTTCATATAAAATGGGCAAAGATTCAATATCCTATTGACAGCTCCTTCAGATTACTCAAGAGGACCTAAGTTGAGAAAAACAAAAAACTTCCATACACGGATACATCAGCAGGATGTGGAAACTTGTCTTGAGGATTTTTTTTGTATTCTCACCCAAGATTCCTCAGCTTAATAGCTGTGCGGCTTCTCTGCTGGCTATATACTGAATTTATAAAAGATGTTAGGGGAGATAAGTTCTAGGAATCCTGATATTTTGAAATTTGTTAACTATAGTCAAATATTACATTCACAACCTTCTGTATGTGTTTCATTTATTTGAGTCTGATTATGAAAAAAAACTAATGAAGTTTCTTAAATTCTGTATATTTCAAAAACGGTGTTGGTGGGAAGCACTTATATGTGGATGTTTCATTTCAACTCTTCTTCCAAAACCAAAAAAGAGCCATATTCCTTGCTTTTCGTATAAAAATTACTCAATATATTTAAAAATGAGTGTCCCAGAATCAAACTTCTAGATTCCATGAATTCAGAGTGTGGAAAAGGAGAACCGGCCCCTTTTAGCTGTAACAGGAGACATTCTTTTAAAAGCCTGGAATGCTGAAGCCCTCTTATACTGAAAACATGTCAGGACATGCCTTTTTGGGATGCTGTCAAGTGGTTTAGGCTCAGAATTCTACATTCCATACTTTTGAAGTTGTTTTCTGTTGGCAGACGACCTCTTGATTATTTTCATGTGGTGGGTGTCCAGGCCAACCTCTCCAGTTCCCTGTAATTAACCACCCCCCTCCAAAAAAAACCCCTAAAACCTCATACCCTGTGAAGTGTCCATATTTTACCATCAAGTTATGGGTCGTGTGAGTGCTGGGCTTATCACGGTCAATCCTATGAGCCTTGTCACAGTTCGTCACAAATGTCAGTTCCAAATCGGGTACACATGACCTAGAGTGCTTTATCCTCCTATGCTCGTTCCTACTTCTTAGTAGTGTCACCATGTTAAGGAATGAAAAATTACACTTGCTGTGAAAAAGTTTTCACCTTTAAGGAGCTGTCATTTCCCTAGTAAAATCAAATAACAATTTCTATTCACCTCGGCTCCTTTTGGGTTCAAGGCTGGGAATGCGTTAGCAGACAGACAAATGAAGGAACTGGTGAATGGAGTCTCTCCTGACTCAGAAAGGTGCAACTGCCCCCTCGTGCAGGAGATACCAGTTAGGTGCAAACCAGTTCTCCCACTCCATAGAGCCCCTGTTTTCTAGGAAGTTGTGATTCATGGGTTGGAGAATGACACTATAGTCCAGTACACTGTACAGCATGAACCTAATTAAATTAAAAGTAAATACTACCCCCTCCTTGCCTCTGAACCATCAGGAATTCATTTCACAGGTGCTTCTATCTGTGGCTTCCGAACAAAGGTAGCCCACTTAAAACTCCATCAACATTTGCCTTGTTATAGAAGACACAGTAGTAGATGTTTTGATATTGCTCGAACTCCAGCAGGATTCTCAACATGCCCCCAAACGGAGAGGCATAATCTTGAGTGATGGTTAAAAAAAAAAAGTCTCATTTCATTTCACTTTGTGGGAATTAGTTCTTAATTGTCTGTTTTATTGGGAAATTTCCCAGAGATTTACACAATGAGAAACTAGTCTGGAAGAAGCCAAACAGGACAGACATAACAGTCAGAGGTCTTTTAAAACATTTCATCTTGCAGACCAAGAATACAACTTGGAAATCATTTTTATGCTTTTATTAAGGTATATAAATTATGATATTTTAGGTGACGCCAATAAAGCCAGCCTAGGGAAGAAAATCAGTTTCTTTCTTCAAGCTTTCCAGAGGTAGTATAAGTTAAATAATTCTATGGTAGAGTTTCAACACCTCCAGTTGAGCACTGTTGTTTACGAAGTAAGAACAGTAATCCTCACGTAAAAAGGTGGTATTGCTACCCGAGACAGCAGATGGTGTTATTAAATACACAGGCAAAGTCTAAGGTCATAAGGAACTAACAATTAACTAGAAATACGATCTGTCACACTCGTTTAATGGGTAACCTACCAGATATATGTCACCTGTATTATCGTGAGTGTTGGGAGGTCCATCGTCAAGCTTCCGAGCAGTTACACAATCAGTTTGGAAATATTGTGATTATGTTCTCCTCTAAGCATTTAGTGAAACCAACAAGCTAGAAAGAAAGTGAAAATTAGTGTGATTTCCTCATAATCTTGCTTTTGGTTGCCTACTTTCAAAAATACTTTACCGTTTCAGATTGCACAATTTCACAGCTATCCCTGAATATAATTGGTCCACCCAAACTAATACTTGTCAAGATTTTGGATTTTGTACTGCTAATTCGAGTTGTTCAAGGCCTCTTTACATTATCATAGGTATTATTTTTGCCCTTGCAGATTTCATAGTGGGAAGGTGATGAGAAAAGATTTAGCCGTACATGGTGGCAGCACATGGCGGGGGTGGGGGCAGGCTGAAACCAGGAGGGTGGGGACGCCTGGGTGGCTCAGTCGTTAAGCATCTGCCTTCGGCTCAGGTCATGATCCCAGAGTCCTGGGATGGAGCCCCGCATCGGGCTCCCTGCTCAGTGGGGAGTCTGCTTCTCCCTCTCCTGCTCCCCCCTGCTTGTGTTCCCTCTCTTGCTGTGTCTCTCTGTGTCAAATAAATAAATAAAATCTTAAAAAAAAAAAAAAGAAAGAAAGAAACCAGGAGGGTGGAGGAGGGGCATTGAGTTAGGAGTGGGGGGTGGGGAGCAGGGGGCAAAGTGTAGTCAAACACTTACCAGTGAGTAATGAGGGCATGATTAAAATCTGGAAGTGGACTCAGTTTTGATTATAAATCAAATACAAATATATCAGTAAAGTAAGATCTTTACACAGACAGCCCAATTCCTTATGAGGGTTTTCCAAGGAGAATTTGCCACGGAGAATGTGTGAAGTTTCCTTTTCACTTAGGCTTTTGAGGATGAAGAACTGAATTCTAAATTCACGCAAAGGAAAAATGACCAACAGGGCAACAACCAAGTCTGAATCACAAAGAGCAAACAATTTGCTTAGAATTTGGAAGGGTGAGCCTTGGCCCATAAGCAAGAACTCCAAAGTGTGTCAAAGAGTTGTGACTCCGACCATTGTGTCGACTGATCTGAAAACCACCATCTGGAAAAGCTGAAACATCCCCAGTGCCCCAGGTGAATAGAAGATGAACAATGGAAAACAAGGTTCGGAGGCCACTGGTTCCTCAAAGTAAGTGGGTGGATCGCAGTCTGTGGACAAAAACCCGTTCTTAAATTTCCCTGCTGCTGGATTTGGTGAGGAAGTCTGAATCACAGAAAATGCATGCTAATAAGATTTTTTTTCTGATGCAGTTTCACATATTTAAATGTGTATATTTACATTTCTCCACATTTAAACTGAGTCAGAAAAGCACAGCGTCTGAAGGCACAGACTCCCAGTCTGAGACCTTCATCAACGAGCTCAGGGAGCTCGATTCTCCACGTGGCCAGGACTCCTGCTGAAACTTCCAACAGCCCTCAGAAAAGCCAACGAGGTACCCTTGGGCTGAATGAATGAGAACCTTCTGGAGAGCCGAAGACTGGTGGAGGTCCAGCTGGAAAAACATATGGCAGCAGAGGCGGAAAGAGGGCTTCATGACCGAGAGCTTTTATAAAAAATGTCTGGAGGCTCAAGGCAACCGTTACAACCCAAGATCTTACTAAGCATGATGGATATTCTTACTTCTAGGATTGCCTCCAATTTACCTGGATCACAGCCAGCACTGCATCCTCAGGCGCCCCTCGGGATGGTGCCCAATGAAGAACAGCATTGCACCACATCCTACCCCCAAGGCCAGGACCCCATGCCTGTTCCCCCCGCCCCCACCCTGATAGAGCACTCAAGATGGCAGCTCACTGTGTCGTCCTGAAAGAAAACAAAGTTTGCAAATTACTCCAGTCTGTTTGTTTTATAACAGGTCAGGAGGGAAAATGACCATGGTCAATTCTCTTCTTACCCCCGTGTGAACTCAGAGCATTTTCGAGCTGCTCAGTGAGCAAAGCCAGGCAGTGTGAGTTTCTGACGAGGACACCATGCCAAGATGGCCTCTCCAGATACAGGCACAGCCTTGAGGTTTTATGTCAGTCCCTCCCCGCCCAGCGTCATTTCCAAAATAATGGAAAGGAAGATTTGATTTTTCCATGTGAATTCTCCATAATAATCTTCTCTTATCGCTAATAACCATTTGTGTCTGTTACTGAGCTTTAAGAACATTCTACACGGAATGCTGTATCCCTTAGAAAAGACATAAATTAGGAGTTGATTATTCAGAATTATATATAAAAAAATACACTTTATAAAGTCCATAATTTACTGCAGGGTTGTAAAAAAAAAAATAGTAAGTTCCCCTAGAACACTGAAGTAGTATTAGGTTTTTAAAAATGAAACCAACATATACTTTTTAAAGATATGCACAGACTGTATTGGGAAGGTAGACATGTGTACCTCTTTTTATCAGTAATGTAGTTACAGCTGACACTATTACTTTTCTTCAACAGATAATACTGTCTCCCTTCCTGTGTCCCTGATGGTTTTTCCACCACCATTCTCCTTACGCGAGGCAGTTGTAGAAGCGGCAATTATTGGAGTCACAAAACTCGGGGCCTGACTTTATTACCCAATCATTATGCCAATTATCCTTCTAGTTTTCCCTTTGTCCATATGTACACATTTCCAAGACATGTTTTTTCACTACTGGAAAGAGAAAGGCCAATGGATCAGTTACACACACTCTATACTGATAAAGCAATGTCATTAACTTTTGATAAAAGAAGCAGCAAATTATAGCCCTTTATGCTTAGATTGTATTTTCCTTCTTAGGAACCTGAAGCAAAAAGTGTGTGGGGGGTGGCGTCTGGGTGGCTCAGTCGTTAAGCGTCTGCCTTCGGCTCAGGTCATGGTCCCAGGGTCCTGGGATCAAGCCCCATATCTGGCTCCCTGCTCAGCGGGAAGCCTGCTTCTCCCTCTTCCACTCCCCCTGCTTGTGTTCTCTCTCTCTGTCAAATAAATAAATAAAATCTTAAAAAAAAAAAAGTGTGTGTGTGTGTGTGTACATATATATTACTATATTGTTATATAATTATTATATACTACTAAAATATTTTTAATAATGTCAGGTTCACAGTGAGCTTTCCATCCATCTGGCCAAGGGGGTTGGGGACTGTGTACCTAAGTCTACTTGGGCCTAATGGAGAAAGGGCTTTGAAGCCCCAGAATTTTCTAGATGTTCAGAGAGAGGAAAGAAAGTCACTTCTTCTCAAGTAAAGCTTTTCTCTTTGTAGGGCACCAGAAATGCAGAGATAGATACGGGCTGGGGTAACTAAATGTGTGTTCTTGTGAATGGAGGCCCGTTCCCCCTTGGCCGCCTGACGCTACGGCTCCTGGTACGAGGGACGCCAAATCCCTGTCTGTAGACACTCTGGGGTTGAACTCCTGGGGGCGTAACTCATGCTCTGCGACAGGCACCACTTCTGCCTCTGTAGCCCCAGTACCGTGTAAACACGGGCAAACCCCTTTTCTGTGCTTCATTTCCTCTCTAAGTTGACATACAGTTGACCCTTGAACAATGCAGGGGTGAGGGGCGCCGACCCCCACTCCCAGTCGAAAATCCACACGTAACTTTTGATTCCCCCAAAACTTAACTACTAATAGCCTACTGTTGACCGGAAGTCTTACTAATAACACGCACAGTCGACTAAGCCGTATTTTGTATGTTATGTGTATTATATGCTGTATCCTTACAATAAAGTAAACTAGAGAAAAGGGGCACCTGGGTGGCTCAGTTGGTTGAGTGTCCGACTCTTGGTTTCAGCTCGGGTCATAATCTCAGGGTCATGGGACAGAACCCCACATCGGGCTCCGTGCTTAGCAGGGAGTCTGCTTGGGATTCTCTCCCTCCGCCCCTCCTCTGTGCACTCTCTCTTTCTCAAATAAATAAATAAATCTTAAAAAAAAAAAAAACTAGAGAAAAGAAAACATTATTAAATAAATCATAAGAGAAAATACATTTACGGTACTGTCTTTTATTTCTGGAGTAATAATCCGCATGTAAGTGGACGCTCGCAGTTCAAACCCACATTGTTCAAGGGTCAACCGTAAATGTGTGTACTAATATGTCCAGAGACCACTCAGTATGGGTAGGTATCACCCAGTGGTTAAGACTGCAGGGCCTGGAGGCAATGAGCCAGGGTTTTATTCTAGTTCTTCCACTTTTACCAGCTGTGTGAGCCTAGGCAAGTGACTTAAACTTGCTGTGCCTCCATTTCCTTATCTGTGAAATGGGTATAAAAGCAGCACTTGCTGCAGAGGTTGATAGAAGGGTGAAATGACATACCACGTGCCTTGAGTGGTGTAAGGCACATGACAAGCCCTTGATTCACCCTGGCTTTCGTTATGTTAGGTATTTCCGGACAAGGCTGAAGCAGACATTTTTTTCTAAAACCAACCAGTTCTTCTACCTCCCGTGGCCAGACTTGAGGATCTTACTTTAGGAACAAGCCCTGCTACTTCGCATCCCTCCACACCCACCACTCCAGGAAGTAGTTATCACCAAAGCTGCCAATGACCTCATTGTGACCATCTCCAAGAGACTCTTATCTCTAATCCTTCCTGAGTCATCCGCCACTTCTGCGATCACTCCTTCCATTCTTTTTCTCACTTTGGCTCTTAAAGTAACATCCTGTGCCTACTGAACTTAAAGAAGGCAAGAACTTCAGAAGTTCTTAAGGTGTGTGTTCTACCGCCCCTTGCTTTACTCCAGGCTATAAAGTCCTTAGTGCTTGGCATGTAGTAGATACTCAATAAATGTCTGGGGCCCTGCCTTGAACTGAGATGTTGAAGAACTTCCTCAATCTCTGTCCCCTTGTGTTGTTTTCTTGATATTTGGGTCCTTGCTGCTCTCCCTGGAATCTCTGCTAAATGAAGGAAATCCTGGAAGGCTGTCTGACTTCTCATCCATCTTTTTCTTCACTTAAGACCTGAAATTCTTTATAGTTAAACTTCCTCTGCTTCAGGTTTCCAGTTTTTGGTGGGGGGGAGGGTATATTGTTACTCCTTTTTCCGGGAAATGTAGGAATTAAACCCCTGAAACATCAAAATCACACACAATTATTCTGAAAACAACTCCTTTGGGGATGTACAAGATGCATTCTAGCAAAGGAATCATATTCTCCCAGAGGCAGAACCCAAGGATATGCATTTTAAAAATCAAAGTCCTGGGGCGCCCGGCTGGCTCAGGCAGGAGAGTGTGCAACTCTTGATCTTAGGGTTGTGGGTTCGAGCCCCACGTTGGGTGTAGAGATTATATAAAAATAAAATCTTTAAAAAATAAAATAAGAAATAAAAATAAAAACAAAATTCCTTTCTTATACACAGTAAAGTACGATAACCATTGGTTCAATCTCACCCTGAATCCCTTTTGCCACACATCTCAATTCAGGGCCACTTCAACTGAACAAAGTTTACCTGTGAGGATCAAAGCTACTTAATATATTAGCTTATAATATTTTTTTAAAAAGGCAGATTTCCCCTTACATGCACACACCTGCACACACCTGCACATGCGTGCATGCTCACACACACACACACTGAAGTCAACTGTACAGGGGTTTTTAAAAATTACCCATTATTTTGGATTATTCACACCATTAGGCATAGCAGGGCCAATGATACTTTTAGGGAAAAGTTTTAATTTTTAAAACGTTTGAAAATGTTTTAATTTTTAGAAGATTTTGTTTATTTATTTGAGAGAGAGAAAGAGAGAGTGAGCAAGCATGAGCGGGGGGTGGGGGGTAGGAGCAGAGGGAGAGGGAGAAGCAAACTCCCCCGCTGAGCAGGAAGCTTGACGTGGGGCTCGATCCCAGGACCCCAGATCATGACCTGAGCCAAATGCAGACACTCAACTGACTGAGCCACCCAGGCACCCAAAAATGTTTTAATTTTAATTTCTTTTAAAATCAGAAGGGAGAAAATAGTATAACAATAGTGAATATATATTAATGAATTCAGTCTCGATTATATTTGGCTTTATACCACTGCAGTGGTAGGACGTAGTTTTTAATGGAGGAAGGGGCCCACAAAGGCAAAAATGCCCACAGAATTTCTGGGAACCACAAAAGTTGTAATGCAGCCCTGATAATGACCACTGACCTTTTTTAGGTTCCTGTGTTCATATGAAGAATTCCCGGAATACTTTCATATTTTTAATGTATACATTGCCTTAGACTTTGTCTTTGGTATTCTAGTTTCTTTCTATTTATCTTGATCCCCCAGAGACCTCATCTCTTGCATTACCTTTGTTCACTGTCTCTATACTAATGAATTCCAAATCTCGCTCCCCCTCTATCCTTGTGTCAGATTCTAACTTTGAACTTCTCACTGCCCATCGGGTATTTTCCACTTGAGTATCTCATCACTGGCTCAAAACCAACAGACACATCCCTGAGCTCACCTTCCCCTGCTCTTCGGCTCTCGCTCTCTGCTCTCCCGTCTGTCTATTAGAATTACTACTAATTTTGCAGTCATTATGAGGCTACCTTCAGCTCAGGTCCTCTCTCCCTCCCTTATCTGGCTGGGCCTTAGGTCCCATGCTCGCCGCTGTCCCTATCTGAGTCTCGCTACCCATTCCTCAGCCCTGCTTTCCTTGCCTCTCATCATTCCCACTTGCATTCCAACGTGAATTCCCACTTCCTCCTACAACACAATTCCTAACCATCCTTGAACTGACCTTAGCACTCTTTGCATCATTTTTTCCCCCTCTGCTCCATAATTCCACTACTTCAACCCAAACTCCTTATCAGTTTTTAAGGCCCTGCCTAGGTGGATCCCTATGTTCTGACCAACATGTCTCTCTGCTCGTGAACACCCACCAAAGATGACAGTTAAAGACTCCCCTCACTCTCTCGTGTTTGCTGTCTTTGTCTTTTGTTTAGCTCTAGATTCATTCATTCACTCATTTACTTGGTAGTCTGGGGGTACTTCTCCGTCCTGGGCATGGTCACCTTAAATGTCCCCTTCCTACCTATTCCAACCCTATATAGCTTTCAAAGCTCAGGTCAGGTCCCCATGTGTGTAGCCCCAGATTTACCCATGATCACTGGTCTCTTTCCTCTGTACCCTCAGGGTAGCGGTGTAGTGTCCCAGAATTTAGCCCTCAGTGATGCTTGTGGTGTGGGATTTCTTGACAGTGTCATGGATGCTATTTGCCTGAGTCTTGTGAAAGCAATAATCTTTATAGACAATCTACCTTTTCTATCACCCAACTGCACCTGATATCAAGCCCGGGGCTGGGCTAGTGGTGCCAACCCACTGATTATTATCAATAATCCCTGTATTTCAAGTGTTTTCTATACTATGATCCAGGCACTATATATGCTAGACACTTTATATACACTGATCCCTATGAGGTTGATATTATCATCCCTCTTTTACAGGTTGGAGAAACTGAGGCCCAGAGACATTAAGTGACTTGGTGAAGTTTACATAGTTGTGAAGTAGCTAAATTAGAATTTAAGGCCTGACATGATCCAAAAACTGTGCTCTCACTCTCTTTGTTAAATTACCTCTGCTTTCGGTTGATCTGTAAATATTCAAATCTACTCATTTTCTTCCCGGTGATAATTATGTTTGTTTTCTATCTCCGTTTATATATGTAAATTCTTTTTTTTTTTTTTTAAGTAATCTCCAGGCCCGACATGGGGCTTGAACTTACAAACCCAAGATCAAGAGTTGCATGCTCTATGGACTGAGCCAGCCAGGCGCCCCTCTCCCTTTGTATTTTTAATAGCCTGCTATTCTGTCTTTTCAGGGCTCTCCACTTATATCAGACACACTAAATCCTTCTAGAATCTTATCATAAATGTCCACCACATATTGGTTATTCGTGCGATATTTATATAAAATAATTGTAAGCATCAAGCTCACATGTGGACCCATCCAGCCAGTACCTTTCACTCATGCAATGTAGTATATTTTGTCAATTAAACAAATCTCAAGATT